GTTAGGTACATCGCTCGCTGATAGATTCGATGCAATTTTCTGTAATTCCATTCTGGGTAATCGGAACTGCGTATAAAGTGCATTATTAAAATAGTGTCAAGTGCGAAAACCGAGTGGGTACCGGGTATGTGGTACGGAAACCGCGATAAGTGTTTACTGTAAATGTTCCAACGTTAAGCTGTTATTATTCTGGTCTGAATGATGTATAATAATTATTTAAGACCATATTTTAATGTCGGCCGAGAACGTTTCTCGGACAGTTAGTGCCCCGTATTTAATACATACTTAACACGCACAATCGTCTAACAACCACAAATATTAAAAGAAAAATTTGCGGGTCTTTAGAAACAGAGATCGATAAACGATTTTGAAACATAGGCAGTGTAGTTTACCAAACGAGTTGACGGATTTGTGTAGAGTTTCATGGGTAAGATTCTTCGATTATTATTATTTCCTGCGGTTATCCTCAGTCCACCCTTGTCAGTATCGTGGCTATCAAACTAGGTCTCATCTAAATATATGACTGGGACGTCCTTAGCACGAATTTCGTGGATTTCACTCAAATATCTTGTTCTCCACTCCGAAATTCTTCTTGATTCCATCAAAACTTGTCTGTTATTCATGGTTTTTTAATAAACAATAATTCTTCGTACGAATGCAAGCAAAGTCTGTTGATAACAGTCAATGTTCAAAACAGTACGCAACTCTTCATGTAAAGTTTTAATTGTTAAAACAATATTCTTCTATGGTTCTGTTTCAGCATGGTTCATGTCAAGTAGACTTTTTGGGACCCCACGATCTTTCCGCGTTTTCTTTCTTGAACACCATTCACAACTATGTCACGTACTGTGGCATACTCCACTTTCTCCAGATGTCGATTTCAGAAACAGAAACACATTTAAAATTATAATTTTGGCAGCAACCGGCAAATGTGTCCGAGTCTTTGATCCATTTGAATTTGACCATCGACCACAATCTGAACTTCTTCGTCGCTGGACATCGCAAGTGACTAACAAAATTGAATAATGTTAGTATTTGGTAAGAAATAAATTGTAATAAAATCTATATGATGCCTCAATAAAAATGAGTCTTGAGAAACAATTGAATAACAGTAAGTTGCTAATTACTAATTACGGAATAGAAATAATTCCAAAGCTTCGACGGCTAAGAAAATAATGTTTCATATGTACTGTGCAGAAAACGCACAATTAGTAACAACAGATTCAATAGAAAACTCGTGGAAATTTACAAATACATACAATATAATACAAGTCAAAAGTAACGGGCCAAAAAAATGGATGACCGAATGACGATAGACGAAAGAAGAGAACATATAAATAGAGATAGCAGGAGCTTCCAGAATTACAAAAAAATAAATTCGCTGGAAATAAGAACAAATCGCGTCAACAGAACAAGCAAGAAATAGATCAAGAAGAAATAGAAACAATGCGAATCAATTACGTACAAGAAACATTGGAAGATGGCAGAACAGAAGTATAACTAGGGAGATAGACTAAGAAGAGTCACCGATGACATTACTTGTAGTGGAGGTGAAACAGGTAATAGAGATATCAACAAACCGTAAAGTCCCGGAACAAAATAACGTCTACATGGAGCTGAATCACTTCCTATACACCTCCACAACCTCAAATACCCAAATAAAATATACATTACCACACACTTTTAATACTTTTATTCCAATACCAAAGAAAACTAGAGTCAATAAATGCTCACAGATTACTCAATTTTATTGAGCGATATAATGAAGATAACTCTAAGAATCATACATAAGGGAACATATAAAAATTGTGACCAACCACATAGGAGAACAACGGTTTGGTTTCCGATTGAGTGTGGAAACTGGAGCAGCGCTATTTGCGCTTAATATTATGTAGAGATGTAGAGATCAATCCCACGAAATATACTTATGATAGATTATGAAAAAGCATTCGTTACAGCACGACATACAAAGATTAATAACCTATTGCACGACCATGGACTTGGGGAAAAGGACATCAATCTCAATAGAAACTTGTAATGAGAACAAATAGCAATATATAGGGAAAAAATATCAGAAAGCAGAAAAACAAAAGTAAAAAAAGATTTGTGAACAATCAAGGTATAAATCTTATTGATGTCATAGTAAAAAAAGCGATGGTCATTTCAAATAATTCAAATTCAGTATACTTATCAATAAGAATAAAACAAGTTTAAAAAATTAGAAATTTGAGATGTTGGAGTGGTCTCAACCCAGAAACGGAAGAATAGAAAATGCCAGAAATGCATTTCTTGGAATGAAAAGATTTCTAAAAAATCCTATCATTAAACATTATCGTTTCTTGAAGGCAATTGTGTTATGCGTTTATGTTTTATGACTTTTAGATTTTACGAATCCTGGACACTTAGGACTTTCGAGGTGAAAAGATTTGAAACATGTGAGAATGTGCGGGAACCATCAAGATGAGCAAAACAAGTTATTTAGGACACATCACAGAGGCACAGTAGCGTAAGCCGCAGAATAAGAAATCTTTTGTAGTTAAGTAAGTGGGTGTGGTGTCGTTTATATATAAGAGCATATTTTTTATTTTCAATATCTGATTCTAATGTCGGCCAAGTGTCGCTTTCTTTATATAATTTGGTACTGGGAACTTTCAATTTATGTGTTGTGCAGGGTTTATTACAGTAGAATTTACATTTAAAATCTTTAGATAAGCTCTTGTTGACGGACATCAATCAACAGTTTACATCAACTGTAAAGTTGTCGTTAACAAACGCGGTACCGTACAGGAAAGTTGCCATTCATCTAGAAATCCCAAGAGTATCGGACGAAATAAATTTACGATTGATACACTTTCAAGAGAGGTCAGCAATGTGGAACCATGAAGAGGAGCCACATTTGGCGGACATTACTTGCCGTCATTACAAAGTGCATCATTATCGCTTCATTTAGTTGTTACAAAAACAAAATTATATTGAAAATAAAAAATGTTATTCCTATGTCGAAATATTCTGCCTAGTAGTGTCTAGTAGAATTGAAATTTGTATTGGCTTGGCGGTAGAATATTTAAGAGTAACGAAGAAGTTATCGAAGCTGTAAATCAGTATTTTGAGGTGGTTGACGAATTTACATTTAAAACTGATTTATACATTATTTCGGAATTACTTTTAAATATCTTGATTCAGAAAAATGATAAAACATTAAATATGAATTTACTGTACTTTATCGCTTTTTATTCCAATGCTTGCTTTAGAATCCTCCTTTGATTATCCATCTGTAAGAACATTATAATTCAACGTTTAATATAACTCCAACAGCATTTTCTTAGCTGCCGGTATATAAAACAAATGCCAAGCGGCACGACGGCGGCGAGCACGAACTCGAAGCAACACTTTGTCCTAAAATGTGTTTTAACGCTGACAGATGTAAAAAGCAATAATTTTCCGTGATTATAATCTCTATCTTCCTGGTCAAGTTGATGTTGTGGCTCAGTTATTTTAATGAACCCACACTATGAAACATTGCTGGCGGCCATAAAGTTCGTGTTCGGTCGGTCAAAAATTCGAGTTACGCGAGTACGACAGTTGGTAGTAATTAAGAACCGCTCTGTTTCGATTTATTGCTCATTGGAAATTTGACAGCGAAACACGGAAGCAGCAGAAGAGAACAGAGCTAACAGAAGATCTCTAACAGTTATGCTCTAATAGCGATGATGTTCGATTGTTAAAGAGCTAAAAAGATAAAACACTTCTTGGACGCTAAGCCTGCATCTCAATAGCAAGTTACATCATTTTTTTGCAATTGCTTTTCAAAGTTCAATCGGCCAAAATATATCGTCCAAATGTTTTATACATTCGTTTATCAGCAACGTAGTACCAATATGATTATCAAAAACCTACATTCTGTCTTGTTCTGATTTGGTCGAACAGCAACCTCATGTCATTCGCCTCCAATAGCGACAAGTCACTTGCATCGGTATGTGAGTGTACGATATTAATTAATCTTAATTAATCTCGGCTAAATCGTCTACATTTCTAAAAACGATAGTTGTGTTAATAGGGAACTTGATTTTTTTTTAAATTTCTTCAATGCATTAGAAATAATTCACATTAAATATTAGAACCCAAAACCCAATATTTAAGTTGCAATAAATAATTCAAGCTAAGCTAGCTAGCTATTCCTTTTAAACGACACTAAACGCCCGGGAATGATTGTGACGTCACACCGCTGTTTTTCGATCGATACGGCGATATGTGTATTTGTATTTGCGCTTAGTGTGCTTTACATGATAATAATGGAAGCAACACAAAAACAATATCTCAAATCGTGCCATCGTGTTTGAGTACATCCCGTAAAACGACAGATAAATTTTTTATTCGTCTACCAGAAAATAAAAGCCGTCGTTTTTTGCTAACATTATGTTCAGGTGACACTTTAGCCTTAACAGCCTTAACATATTATATTGGTTTAAAATTAGGGGCTAAATTTTCTATGAACATTCATAACTTTTAGCTTTAACACTGCGAACCTCAGCAGAAGAAAAACGTATCCACTAAAGGTAAATTATCAGATTGATCTTTTAAAAAATCGGCTTCGGTCATTTTGAAAACTTTCTTTTTGATATTAAACACAGGATGCCAAAAGCAAACGATGGGATCAAGACTAAAATTAAAATTAAAACCATTGGCATCTCTTTGCTACAGTCCGGCTGACGCGTACTCTTAAGAGCGAATTGACGTCACAACCGGACACAGCCAATGACAGCAAAGGGGATTTACATTTTACAATTTTTAATTGCTTATATTTGCTATTTTTTTCTCCTTTTTCCGATGGTATTTCCTTATCTAAGAAACAATTCATCCCAAGGGTTACACTTTTTCTAGACGAAATTCATAAAAATGTTCTACTTATTTGTTCATTTATTTTTAAATTTTACTGCTAAAAGAAACGAAATGAGGGTAAAGTTGTTGGAACAAGCTTCGTGGGGATATAAAATACTCACGTGCGGTCGCATCCAGACTATAGGATTTAACGAAGGTTTCTTGTGGTGGTAAAGAGATTTCGAGGCCGGTGGAAAATCGACGTCCTCATATAAAATTCCCTTTTCCCTACACGATCTCTTTATAGCCTGATAACTATTCGACGCCTTTCTGCGCTCTGTCGTGCAGTACCTGCAATGAGGAAAAGGCTGACAGCTAAATCCTAAATTACAAATTTTTGTTACGTCAATGCGTTGTGTGGCATGCGACGCATCTATAAAAGGAAAAATCATGTACATATTCATTCAATTCATTGTTTTTAATACTCTTTCTGAGAAATTCTCAGAGCTTAATTTCTTATTGCTTCGATGTGAAATGTGAACAAAAGTGAAAGAACAACAATGATTGCGGAAATTCAAGTAAAACTTGCTGTTTTACAGATAAACTTATTTATTTTAGTGTTTTATGTTAGTTATGCATTCTGCTCAACACTCTAAAAAAAAATTGTCTCCAACTTGTTAAAACCTGATTATTATGGTTGAGAAGTGGACTCAGGAAATGCTATGGTGGAATTTTAGGCTTTTTTTACTTACTTAAATATTGCTTACTTAAATATAAATTTTTAAAACTTTATGATTGTATCATTTCAAATTTAGTTACTTCATTTTATTCATTAATGTTTGGTTGTTGCTTCGAAATAGCTTTCAAAATCAATATTCCTTTATTTTCCAGTTTAGGAAATGATTGAACAAATTGTGTATTTTATTCGTTTCCTTGTTAGACTAATGCAGGGTATTAAAATGAGACCTGTCGCTTTACTTAAACAGGCAATTGGTTAATTTTAGAGCGAAGGATTCATATAAACATTTAAGGGAAATAAAGTCATCTTTGGAATACACAGTTCCACATTCCTTTTATTTTTACATCTTGTATCTCGAGACCGAAGATCTGGGAAACCTAGGTTGAGTATTTTCATCTTAAGATTAAGAAAAAGCTACTTATTCAATTAACTATTCAAGATTCAAATTCATTACGTTCACTTCTTACTATACCATTTCATTCTGCCTATCGCCATTGTGTAATTAATCAAAGGTTTTTTACTTTCTCCTGATTTGGATGATATTTTTATATGCTTTTGATTTGTGATTCTCTATTGTTATTCTCTGCTATTATTATTATCCTTTTCTAAAATTCTCAGCATATAATTGAGGTTAGGTGAAAATCGATTAAAACTAATTAGTAAAGTAACCAACTAAAAAAAAACAAATTATACCGGGTGAAACAAGAAAGTGGGCACACGCTATAACTTCCGGTTCGAGCGGAAACGACACTAACTTCTGAATTTTAAATGGCACACCCATAATTTTTGCATTTTTGGATTCAGGAGATTATTCTACGTAGGATAGGGTTTTCTCACTTTTTTTAGTTTTTTTATATTTTTATTTAATTCCTTTTCAATACTTGTATAATGCCAAATAGCATTTAATGTAATGAACTATTATTTTTTTAGGATAAGCTAATTTTTTCAAATAGCACCCTAGTGGGAACAAAAACTTTTTAAAACCGGTACCTTTTTTGCAACATTTAGATACCAAAATTTTCAAAATTCGTTAAAAAATTAGCTCACAGGAAGGAAAAAACCAGACAAGACATTTTTATAAAAAAAAATATTACTTAGGTGGCTTTGCTTCTATTCATCATTATTGATTGAAAATTCTGACAGTTTGTACATTTTTATCTGATTATCTATTTTGTCCTGTCGATTTGGATTATCATGGAAAACAATAATCAACTTACAAATGGAGAAAAAGTTGATATGTTTCTGATATACGGGGAATGCAGAAAAAACTCTCGACAGAGAAATCCTCAAAATAATCGAGATGATAATTTTATTATAAGTGAACAAATGGAAATCAATGCGAGATACGTCAATATAAATCCACCTGCGTCGAGAAGTCGCATTACAATTAGACATTTCAAGAGAATCTGTGACGAGAATTTAAAAAAAAACACGGCTATCATTCTTTTAAGTATAACCTTCAACATCTTTATGAAGCTGACTTTGTAAGAAGATTTCGATATTGTAATGGACTGTTAGATAAACATGACGAGAATAATAATTTCGTTAACTTAGTTTTGTTCACTTATGAGTCACGATTCTCAAATAATACTATATTTAACCGACAGAACAATAGTCTTTAAAAAATCAAAGAATTATACATCCCGGAGAGTTTCAAGAACGGTTCGGAATCAATATTTGGGCAGGAGTGTCTAGGAGTGGAGTCTATCCCCACATTTGTGGGGATAGACTAATCTCAACCCACGGTCCAGTCAAATGCCCCCACGGTCACCGGACTTGACACAGTTAGATTTTTTTGTTTGGGGGTACGCGAAAGACCGCGTGTTTATGTAACTTCAGTGTTCGACCTACAATGAAGGAGGAGGACATTTTAATCACATTTAATCCCACTTATTTAATTCAAATAAATACAGAACTCGAGTTCCAAAATAAATGAATACATTCAATACCTACGTTAGTTTATGACTGTATCCCCGTATTCCACAAGCATATCAACTTTTTATCATAATAAAACACTTCAAACAAAAAATTCTAATCGTTGAATCTAAGTTGAATCTTGTTTTTACAAAATTGTATTTACTTATCTATTTTTTTTCCTTCCTTACTTACTTTTTAACAGATTTTGACAATTTTGGTGTCAAAATGTTGAAAAAAAATACAGGTTTTAAAAAGTTTTTGTTTCCACTAGGGTGCTATTTGAAAAACTAGGTTATCCTAAAAAATTAATAGTTCATTGCATTAAATGCTATTTGCCATTAGACAAGTAACAAAAAATTTCATTTAAAATTTTTCCGATGATCAGGTGACCCGGTAAATATTTATGACGGTCACAGCCTCCTAGACAAAATTTTCAAAAATTAAATAAAAACTAAAAAAAAAAGGTTTTGCCATTTAAAATTAAATTAATATCTTTTCCGCCCAAACAGGAAGCGCAACCATTGATTACATATTGTCAAAAATTTGGACATTCAGCCGTTTAAAAGTTATAGAGTGTTTCCACTTTCCTGTGTCACCCGGTATAATGACGTTTAAGTGCCAAGAGGTAGCGTGGGATTTTATAAATCAATGAGAGTTCCCCGTCATTAAGTTCCATAGTCGAAACGAGGCAACGAATTTTCCAGCATTAACGCGCTCGATATATCACAAATCAGGTATTAATAGAGTAATCGTAGTAAACCAGGAGACCACACCATCGATTAATTCAGAGGTCAGTCATTTCAAAAGCTTTATTCAAATCGGTGATTACTTTTGTCGCAACTCTCGCCGAGTGTATCCCATGAGAAAATTTGTTCACCATTAATCATTCCATAACACTGTTTGTTTTTGCCAGCCTTCGCCTGAGAGATGTTCGTGCGAGGCAAAGTTGCCATATCTTTTCAAGTATTTAGAAGGAAACATTAAATGGTATATGTTGGGTTCTGACCCGATCATTCTTGTTACCGAATATTTGTTGGACGGAGTAAAATGAAACCAAGAAATCAATTTGCCTCCATGGCAACGTTTTATGACGTCATCCCCATGGTCATCCTCATGGATATATGGGAATCATTAGGCTTGGAAAATTTCGAGATTTTTTTTAATAAAGACAGTTTATTATTGCTATTATTATTTTTGGTCTCTTAATATAATTTTACAAAAATCTCTAAATAAAATGTTACAAATTTAATATCAGTCATCAGTAATTTTAGTGCCCTGAAAATGATGTCGGGTTTTATTTGTCACCATCCAATAAATATTTGCAAATTTGAACATAAATTTTATTTTATTTCAGGCTTGGATGAGCATTAAGTATAATCTGTCTCATTAATACAGGTAAAATGAAAAAAATAGATTTAGGTATAGATACAGGTTCGAAAAAACATGTTCAATTATGCAATCCAAGCAGATGATTTGGTTCTAACCTAAAAATGTTTGTTGTCCACTTGATAAGGACCGAAACGTTGATACATAATTTGAATAACAGCAAAAGAACTCCAAAAAAGTTCTGGACGAACAGTCTGAAGTTTCATTATTAATAATAATTATATTATATAGAAGAACAGTCAACAATATCCGCGTTTTTAACTTTAAAACTCTAAAAACCACATTACCCGTGTAGTGGCACGCAATCCAATATTTTGTCAGTATATTAAGGTATTCTACCTCATCCTCACAATCACGTCAGTGTAAAAGATGCTAATTGTTGGGAAAGTAATATTTTATTAAACAAGTAATACAGTAATACCAAACCTTAATGTATATTTTAGGACGACTTAAAAAATAGAGTTTTACAATTTCAAGCTAATGTTTATAATAATGGTTTCGAACTCCTGATCAGAAGAATTTTGTAAAAATGTAAGATAAATTGAATTTTTCTACGAACTTGGGTGAGTTGCATAGTTTTTGTTAGTTTAACCGACAACCCTAGAATTTTCTAGCAGTAAGTGGAATTTTGCAAATGTGTATGCTAAGTATTTAACACGAAGCTTTGCCAGAGCTGCCCATGAGTCTTTATGGCATATTTGGAGCGTCCTTTCTAAAGAGAAGTGACAGTTGTTGCTTACAGAAGAAAATAAACGATCAGCAGTCGAACAACTGAAGTAGACGATAACTTTTGGGACCAGAAGATTACGAGGATACGACAACGTCGCTGAAGTTATGAGCTTTGACGAAGATGGGGCGCTAATGTGCCATAACATTTATTTCGTAACAACCGATCATGACTCATCAAGTTCTTCGTCGGCGGCGAGCGCCGCGGCCACTCATCATCTCGTTCGACATGACGAGAGACGAAGAAAAGAGGAAGCAAGGCGAAAAAAAGAAGAGCAATAACTAGCGGGGCGCGTACGTGTGTGCGAATCGCTTATACCCGTAATGATGCAGAGGTTACCGGAGCACGTTCCCAAGACGCGCGGGATTCCTCGGATTCTTCGGATTAAGAAGCACCACGTCGCGGACAGTGTCATAACTTGAATAAATTATGACGGCTCGAGGAGGGTACTAATTTAATTTATTGCAGTCTCGGCACTGCTAGCATTTGTTCTTATGGACGTGAAATCTGCTGACAGTTATTGCATTAAGTGTTATTTACGATTGCGGCAGATCTTCTGAATCTCCGGTTGCGCAGATTAGGGAATTATTGGTTTTATTTGATTTGGGAAAGATATCAAAATCTAGTTGTAACTCTCCAACATTTTAATAATTGTTTTAAAACTATTCTAACCATATTACAAAATACTACTAAATGGTTTTTTAAGGAGCTACAATTCTATAATTTACCTAACTTAAACTAACTTAAAGACTATCTTAAAGAATATAAAATTTTAAAATAAAACTAGGTTGACTTTAGATGAGGTCAAACACAACATAAGTATAACATCCATAATGATAAGAACGCGTAATATTCCACAAAGTAGGTAACAGACTAAATACCTCTAACCTCAACAAGCATGTATTAATATAAGTACATTTGTTATAGACATTAAAATAAATAATGCAAGCAAAAATAAATAAAATATTAAATTTGACATTGTAAGTTAAAGGAAGGATAGTGGAAATAAATGTTCAAAACAATATTTTATTAATTTAATCTATTAATATCTATTTAATATATTACAATTATCCATGCAATTTATTAGGAACTGAGTGTGTAATGCACAAGCAAATAAGAAGTATCATTCGCGTTGAATATCCGCTGGTGTGATTAAGTTATTATCTAAGTGTCTTCAAAAAATAAGGTAACTTTTAAGTTTTATCAAAACTTATTTATTTATTTACCATATATATAATACACTTGTGCCAACTTTTTTTCCAATTCTCGAAGCACTTCTGATAAGCACTTTCTGGTTTTGTTGCAAACCTCTTTCCTTTCATGGGTTTCTTAAGTTTTGGGAATATGAAAAAGTCGCAGGGGACTATATCCGGTGAATATGGTGGCTGAGGCATGATTCAGGTTTTGATCTTGGCCACAAAATTAGACACACACGTTTCATGCCACAAACTTTGGAAAAAAAGTGCATGACACGAGGCAATAGAAATGTCGGCGTCTTCAGCCACTTTTCTAATAGTGATTCGACGATTTTTCAACTCCATTTGTTTCACTTCTTCAACGCTTTTTTGTCATGCTGAGGCGTCCAAGATGGCCTTGGATGAGCTTGTACCACTTTTTTTTCCATTCCATCCGATTTTATACAAAAATTGTATGCAAATTCTTTGCTCCATTTTTTTGACAACAGAAAATCGTCGAGCACACAAAACACATCTAACGCTCACAAAAAAGTAAACGTGCAAACTGGCTGAAACTGTGAACATATGTCAGGGTTATGTGTACCAACTTAACAAAAAAAATATTGAAGATCGAATGTACGTAGCCCGCCTAATTGCAAAAGTCACCTTACTTTTTGAAAACACCTCGTATATGGAGATGGGACAAAATAATTAAGTTTTTAGTTAAAAACAAAGTTAACAGCCACGTGAATGTTTAAAAACACTGAAAGAAGTGGACACTGCGGCTAAAGATATATGCGCCAATATGAACTACACCAAACCTAAACTCATAATCAACACAGGTGGAAACATTGCAATCAGAACAGAGAAAAAAATTGAATAAGAAGATGAATATATATATCTTCGACAAATGGTTAAATTAAAAAAATAATATATATCCCCAATATCTGAAAAACAAAGGATATAATCAGTGCGTGTCCTACGAAACTTAAACATGGATATTTAAAAAGCCCAAACATGGACAACGTAGCGATAGCACAAATATTAATGCAAGTACAAATGTTAAGTGTAAAACTGATAGATCGACCAAGAAACGAGTGGATAAGAATTAAAAATAAAGTAAAAGACGTTAGAGGCATGTAGCGAAGTCAAAAAACATCAGAAAAAAAACGAAAGACGGAACAAAATTATCATAAATTGAAGCCCTTAGTAAAGTAAAAGAATGAGACGAAGACCTGAAATACGATTGCCGGATGATCTGAACAAGCATGCTGGATCCAGATGGATAAACAAGGCGACAGACAGAGAAAAGTGGAGAAGTCTGGGGGAGGCTTATGTTCAAAACTGCATCGAATAGAGTAAAATAGATACGAAGCAAAGTAAAAATACGTTCCTGAATTAATTTTGTGTATTGGAGATCCGTTAAGTAAACGCATAAACCGAAAACGTGTAACCGTGGCCATTCTTTATGCGACCGTAATGGAATCCTTAAGCTTCTTCGCATTGTTATGCAGCGGGAATAGAACAACAACGTTCTTATGTCGGAAGACATAAATAGGTTTGAAAACGATGATAATTTTCATACAAACGTTGCGACGAGACAATTCAAAACAAGTCCTTCGAGTACGGTTAAATTTAATACATTATGCTCATACGAACCGAAATGATATGGGAAAAATCTACAATCGGATTTACTGTTTCGTATTTACATGCCAAGTCGGTTCTTTTGTACGTCAAACGTCAAATTTGACTTGCGAACGTAACGAAAGGAAAAATTCTCGTTTCGCCTCAATTGTATAAATAATGATTTGGTGTATCGCGTCCCTAATCCTCTCGACTGCTTTAATCCTGGTTGGTTTTCTGCTGTCCGCTGCAGGAAGCTTGGAAAAACTTAAAGAAAATTTTGGTAACACATCGAAAACTACCCGACTCCCCATAATTACGCCCGACGGGCAGATGGTTGACTCTGTCGAGGACCTAGAGCTTTTGATAGAAGTTTTAGAACACGAATTCGAAGAAAAAGAGGTAAAATGTTAAATTTTAATCGGCCGCGCTTCATACATTCTTCACAGAAGGAAATTGAGTCCGCGAAAACTAAACAAGAGTCGGCAGCTCAGCGTTTGGAAAAACTGACAGACACTGTTACACAAATGAAGAAAGGTTTCTTGAAACGAAAAAAGCAAATATCCAAATCCGAAACTGAATGTACCCAATTGAAAAGCCAAATCGAAGATTACAAGGAACGTAAGAAACGCCTAAGAGAAGAAATCAATTCTAACCCGAAGCGCTACGACAATGCTGTCGATGAATATGAAATTGTGAAGAACTTTACAGGTTAATCATAAATTTATTGGTCACTATGTGACTTTGAGATTTTCACTTTGCACATTACAAAATTAACTATATGAAAATAAGACGTTGGTCAGTGTAACAATGACAGCATATTTTTATTTTAAATCGTGCAAATATTGAGATTGATTTAGTCATGCAATAGCTGCTTGAAAAGCAGGTTGTTCTGCATTATTTTCAGGCATTATAGCGGGGTTTCTTGAATGTTGATCTTAAATGTTGCTATAAAAATATATATTCGTTCAGTTTTTCAAGCTTTATTATGCAATCTGCAACATGCTATAGCAATCTTGGTATATTCTCTAGTAATTTAGGCATGGAATAATTTTGCGCCTTTTACCATCTTGTAGAAGCAGTTTTTGTTTAAACTTCGTTTGGTATTTAATTTGCTGAACTACTTTTATTTCTTCCACATTCCACAAATGTTCCACAAAACTAACGAATTCATGTTTTTGATTGACAGTCAGTGATTCTAAATTTTCAAAAAATATTATTATCCAATGTATAAATCCTCTTCATTACCCTTGTAAAATAATTACATCAATCCATATGTAGTTGACATGGAACCGTAGACTAAAAGCCGTCAATTTCATTGGGATACTGATTTTTGTTTGAATATTAATACACAGTTTTTTTATTTTTAGTCACGGACGCTTTGTAGAACTTCCTTATTGCATCTAAAAGTTTAATGATGGATTTAAGAGGAGCCTAGCGGTCAAATTACTTATAAATTTAAATGTAAAAATAAAAGATTTACCTCGAAAGAGTCGACTGTTTGTCCTCGGGTTTGTTTGCGTGCCCGTTGATGTACGCTCGAACGTTGCCATTAGGACCTGGAAAGAAGAAATTTCGAAAATTAGAAGAACGTATTGATAGTTCCATTGGTTTTTAGGAAAAATATATTTTGCTTCGTCAAAGGTTTTGATTTAAGATTTACAAATTTTTCCATCTTCCAGCCCAAATAACCGAAAAGGAAGTGAAACCAAATACCCATGAATATTGTGTCATTTTGCATGCCGAGAAAAACGGTATTCGACATAAATCTAATTTTAAGGGGGCGAGGGTCGAAAATCGATTTAAAAAGTAATCTACACAAGCTACACACACGGATTTAATGTTACCAACAGCAATATCTGTGATTTGTTAAAAATTCGTAGTAACTGTGGGAGTGTATGTTTCTGATAGCGAGTTGAATCAAGTTTTCAATGTAGTGAGCCAAACCAAACATTTTTAGGTTATCTTGGCGACGCCGCATTTTAGGCGCCCGACTGACGCCATTATTTTTTTAGTGGGATGGAGTCGAAATTAGGTTCACATTTCCCTTTTAAAAGCATTATTTTCATTTTTTATGGTAGAGATTTTGTAATTTAATTTAAAAAAATTGTGACCAGAAGCCATATACATATTTCGTCCTACATTCTACACAAAAAGTTATATAAGTAACGGTTATTAGTTTTTCGATAAATAATAAAATAGAAAACTTACATGTAGTACCATCCAACATTTTGAAAAAGGTCCCATACCTCATCAACAAAAGTGCTATATACAAGGTGATTCATAATACAGTGCAGATCCTTAAGGTTGTGATGCTTTAGTTGACGTTAAAAAAAAAATTATATCAATATAAGTCCACAATCCCCTTAGTTTTGATCATTGAAAATATTTTTAAAAAACGCTTTTTCCTCATTTTCATATATTATATATTTTTTCTACTCTGTCAAATACCTAACTACACGCCGATCTAGCGTGCGGGAAGCGTCACTTTACCACGTCAGTTTCGTTTCCCTCGGGTATTGTACTGTAATGTATGTATTCGTATTGTTTTGCAAAAATGTATCCAAAAACTAATGGTCGTGGAAAAAGTATAGTATGCAACACTGCTACTGTGGTTTTTAGAGTTTTTATATTAATATCTTGCCAAGAATAATTGTACCATTTTCAAATATCCGTGTCACACCAGTACAAATAAAACACAACTGAAGGTTATGACCTGCTTTTTCTTGCTCATACTATCTTAAAAATTTAATCCTCTTAAAACCTCTATCGTTGGATGATTTTTCTTCCAATTCCAATACTTAATGGTCAATTGTAACAGTTAAATAAACAACATAACGTTTTAAAATTGTGTTTATTCCGTCGTTTATATGACATATACAGTAATACATCTC